CCCCTAAGGCTCACCCAGCCAGGCAGCCAATGCCCGGGCAGCCCAGCCCTGCTCCCGCCAGCGCTGCCCTCGGGCAGAGCCGGGACACTGCGGGGAGAACGGACCATCTCCCATGGAGTCTGCTCCAGAAAGACAAACCTAAGCCCTGGGGAGAAGCTTAGGACCCCCCCACTTCGCCAAGAAACCCCCGCTCCGCCCACACCACAGACGGGAGCCGGGGCAGGACACGGGCGTTACACAACCACGGGGCACCAATTCCCGCCGGGGATTTCAGACCCGGGACAGAAACAGCCTCCTCGGCGTCCCACTCTGCCAATCCCTCGGAGAAGGGATCGGGAAGCACCCGACACCAGCAGCTTCGGGTGAGATCTGAAACCCCCGTTCTGCCCCAGGTGTGGAGCCCAGGAGGAATCTCTCCCTGCCCTCCCGTTCCACGGTGTTAAAGCACCACCGCGCCGCAATGAAATATCCCAGCAGACACTTCAATCACCACCTCGGGGTTTCTCAGAAACCTCCCACTCTTTTGCTTCCATCTCTGAGTCTGACTCCACCACACTGAAGTCAGGCTGGTACCACAAACAGGCTACACGCTTTTTCAGCCTCTGATACACCCAACAGCCGGGAGCTCCCGGTAAAACCAAACCTTCACCATCAGCACCAGGTCGGAATCAGGCACAACACCGCCGTGCTTGCCCAGGCAGCCTGCTCACCTGTGGCTCTGAACACACCAATCCAGGCTCCTTTGATGCCCAAGAACCAAGAAAACGAAACATCGGAGCTGGTTTGGGGCTGTGCTCCTAAGTACTCTTAATTCCCAGCTTCCCAACCCCACACCACAAACAGCCGGAGCCCAAGAGCTGGCGGCGTTTCCTCATTAGCGGATTATCAACCTAAGCACCATGTGAGCATCTTTAAGGTCTTAAAGCCCAGAGACCTGCGACTCCTCGTAAGCCGAGAAGCGGCTGCGGGGAACACCGGGGGGACCGCAGGACTCCGGCCCGAGGGGGGCTCAGTGTGCACGCTAAGGGGTCCCGAGCCC